CAGACACACACACAGACACACACACAGACACACACACAGACACACACACAGACACACACACAGACACACACACAGACACACACACAGACACACACACAGACACACACACAGACCCACACACACACACACACACAGACACACACACAGACACACACACAGACACACACACAGACACACACACAGACACACACACAGACACACACACAGACACACACACAGACACACACACAGACAAACACACAGACACACACACAGACACACACACAGACACACACACAGACACACACACAGACACACACACAGACACACACACAGACACACACACAGATACACACACAGACACACACACAGACACACACACAGACACACACACAGACACACACACAGACACACACACAGACACACACACAGACACACACACAGACACCCACAGACACACACAGACACACACAGACACACACAGACACACACAGACACACACAGACACACACAGACACACACAGACACACACAGACACACACAGACACACACAGACACACACAGACACACACAGACACACACAGACACACACAGACACACACACAGACACACACAGACACACACAGACACACACAGACACACACAGACACACACAGACACACACAGACACACACAGCCACACACAGACACACACAGACACACACACACACACACACACACACACACACACACACACACACACACACACACACACACACACACACACACACACACACCCACGCACACGCACACGCACACGCACACGCACACGCACACGCACACGCACACGCACACGCACACGCACACGCACACGCACACGCTCACGCACACGCACACGCTCACGCACACGCACACGCACACGCACACGCACACGCACACGCACACGCACACGCACACGCACACGCACACGCACACGCACACGCACACGCACACGCACACGCACACGCACACGCACACGCACACGCACACGCACACATGCGTGTGAGCGCGTGCATGCATGCGTGCGTGAGTGCGGGTGGGTGCGCACCTGTGCATACGTGCGTGCGTGCGTGCGTGCGTGCGTACGTGCGTGCGTGTGTGAGAGAGAGAGAGAGAGAGCTTGTTGTTATTTGTCTGTGTGTGTGTGTGTGTGTTCTACTTGGGCGTCCAACAAGAATGATAGCTAATCAAATGTCAAGCTGCTTTGGCAAAAAAACACCAAACTCTCAGAACGCAGGCCCTTTTGAATGCCCCGCAACCCCATCCCAATTAATTATATAGGACTGGAGTGTTGATTGAACCTGAAAAGAACAGCGCAAAACCACTTTTGGAGACCCCACTTTGTGGATAGCTATGATAGCTTTTGAAAGGGGGACATGGGTGAGCAAAACGAACCTTAACAGTACAAGTAACTTCTCAGGAGGTAGCTTGCCCCCTTTGTACATTGGACCCTCAGGGAAAAGCAGCTCTTTCGGGGTCCAATTCCTATCTCAACACGTGTCACAAAGGGCTCTCCTCTCACAAGCGCGCCTCTGACACGGAACCACCCACGGCATAGTCATCTGGGCCTCGCATTGGCAATGGCAAGGAGCCTCTTCCTCCACCCCCAAAAGGGGCAGCAAACGACATGTCACATACTTCGCTCGATAAGGGGAAGCCTCAAAATCGTGCGGCCTTATCTTTTCCAAACCTGCCAGCACAGCCGTTGGGGAGTCACCCTGAGCAATTGCCCCGATCAAAACTCAATCTCCAGGCAACACTTCCCAACACTGAAAGCAAGAGTACATCGTGACTGAAGGGGCATGTCATGCCCCAGCAACTAAGGCGAACCTCTAGGAACTAGGCTGAGCTCAAGAGAAAATGCCACACACAAAGTTCAAGGAGTTGCTGCTGGTGAAGGTTTCAACTTAAGTTAAGCGTTACCTTGGACGAATAACACAAGATGCTGGGGTAGCTGCAGCACAACACGTGCAACAAATGCTTTCCTTCTAGGAAACAAGGGATCCATTCCACGAAACCTAGCGTGTCCATCCGAAGTATCTTGCTGGAATGCCCAGCGCCAACAAAGCAATCATATATTGACAGCATCTCGTAGTGTGCGGTCTGACCAACAAAGTCAAAATAAAAGGAATCTAGACTATTTTGAGGCAAGGTCGCACGTCACGACTAGACCCCAAAGTCCTTCCACGCCGTATTCACAACATCCACACTTGGTGTCACAAGGACAAATGAACAAACTTGCAATCCTGCGGCACACTGCCCAACGCGACTGCCGGGTTTATTAATCCACGCATCGAGCCTTCTCTTAGAAACTGCTGCGCTCCGATTCTGCACTGGGGCTAAGCCAACCCGCCCACTGAATCTATGAGCGAATTATCATTGATGATGCATGCCCTTTCAGAATGCGCCGGTGTTGTTGAGTGCCCAAAATTCGAAACCTCCACTGCAAACATCCTCTTGCAGCCTGCTTTGGGCCAACCATGAACAAATCCCGAATGGGTCTTCCCGCAACGAAAGCGCTTGGAGCTCCAAGTCGGAACATGCCATGACTTCAAGTTGTACAGACCATCCCCCAGCCGCGACCCAAGGATCCGGCCATAGAAGGAGGTGTATGGAAACCTCCGGGAGAGGAAATCCGAATGTGAGGGAATTGGGGAACCCCCGAAATTGAAGCGGTTTCCTTTTGGTGTCCCATTTAAAAGACACCCCCAAAAAACGAGTAGCTTCAAAACAAAACGCAAATTCCAGCCAGAAACCTGGGAGTGCCTCAACGGTGGCCAAGTGACTCCGATGACAAACGGTTTGGCATATCAGTTGGCATGCCTGACATATCTGGGCGCAAGTGGTGCTGAAGGCCCGGCGAAGTGCCCAAGTGAGGCTAACCTTGCAAACCTCCTCTTCCTTCCGGCGTGGTCCGGATAGGATGCATTTCCAGAGATTCACGGATCCGCGGACTCAAGGTGGAGAGGGTTTAGGGAGTCATGTTGCGCCGCCCTCCGCCAAAGGCGGGAGGGGCACCTTTGTAGCAAAGGCGCGCGCAACTGCGTGTGGGTTGCCCAGGCAAACGACCTACGACGTTTCTTAGCTCTTAAGGAACTTCCATCACAACTTGCTCCATCACCTTGCTCCAAAACTACCCACAACTTGCTCCATCACCTTTCATCCTAACGGAGTTCGAACCTATGCAAAAGCCCTAAACAGAGCGGTGCTCATCGTGTCAACCCAAAATCAAGAAAGTATCCCAAGGCTCGGTATCCGCCGACATTGGGGAGGCGTGTCGGATACTTTTGAGAGGATAGAGGATGACCCTCTCCCGGTCCCCGTTTGTTTCCCTTTCATTTCCCCTTCCTTTCCTGCCATGCTTGAGATTGAGGAGTGAGAGGATTGGGAGGATGGGGAGGATGGGGAGAAGAGGGAGGGAGAGAAGATGAGGGAACACATGGGGCAGGAGACAAGAGAGAGAGGAAGAAGGAGAAAAGGGAGGGACAATGTCGGCGGACTGAGCTCTAAAGGATACCCAAAGCGTCCCTTTGCACGTAAGGAGCCCGAAACTTCCAGCAGGAGGTGCCAGTATGTATTGATGGAGGAAGTGCAAATGAATGTGTACATGCTACGTAGTATGTTGGTTGTAGTGGCATTAACTGCATGGGCGTACAATATATATATACATATATATATATATATATTATAGCGATAACAACCTTGAACATCAATGTGATGCACACCATGTTCTGAAGCCTCAACGAAGGAGCCCTGAACCTGAGGATGGAAGAGAATCCGCTATGCGAGATTCCAATATGCTGTAGTGTTCGGTCCTTTCATAGTTTGACGTTTGTCTTTAACAGTGTGCGATTTGTTCATAAAGCCCCAGCGCCAGACAATACACAACCGGTTGTTCGTTCGCGGGAACACAAACGCCTCAACATGGTCAAACAAAATGGATTCAATCATGTTCACATCTAACTGAATAGCCACAGTCGAGCTCTGCCTAAGGCCTTATCTGAGAAAATACAGACGGGCTGCTCCAAAGACCCTGGCAGGAAAAACACATTTGGCGCTGGGAAACCGAACCCAAACCCGAATCCCTCCCAACCCACAACCCCACAAGCCCCTGGGCCCCAGATACCAAGAAACAAAGAACCTACCCCCGCCTCCGGTGCAAGCGCTCAGAGAAGAGCAATGCCCCGAGGGTCTCGCCCTCCCCCTGGCAGCTCGCCCCAATTTGAAATCATTGGTCAGCTTCTAGGCGTAAAGTGGGCACCTGTCTCAGGGGTATCTGCACATTCAACGACGGAACTAACCCAGTTCCAGTTGCCATATACTATAGTAGGTAACCAGGGAAAAGCGTGATGCAAGTGGAGGTCACCTGCTTTGTCGGCGTGTTTTCATTTTTAGTTCTTCTTTTGGTTTGGGGGGGGGGAACAATGACACGAAAATCCCACTGCATTTGGCTGAGTGTTTTACGACCTCGCAACTATAGTATAGAAGTTCTTCAGTTGCCATTTGCCAGCCTGGACGAATAAATGGACCAAGGGATATGAACTGGCCCAAGGCTTGCAAATAGCCTGGAAAGGTCCTTTTCATTTCAATGATAAAGTGGGCCCATAACTTCCTCGAGTAGCACCCTTGTTTGTTGATGGGCGGAGAGGAGTCAGGGTTTGCTGGGTCCTTTCCTTTTCAAAAAGCCTTAAAAAGAGCCCCAAGTGTTTTTTTTACATAAAACATCAAATACAAACTAGCAAGGTCCGGGTTCTATTTTTTGTGGCTCGTGAAAGCAAAGGATTCGGGGGGGGCCCCTACTAGAGTTGGTGTAGGGTCACGAGCGAAAATGCTTGGTTTAGTACTGGATTAGAATTGGCCCATTCTAAATTGTGTATTCCCGAACAAATATTATTGGGGGCCCTTTACTTTTTATGAAGAAGAGATCATGCCTCCATAGTTTCCACTATCTGCGCATTTGGAAAAGGGCTTGCCAAACTTCCGTTTGTTTAGTTGGTATATATTGAAAACCCCTTGGTTGGACCTAGTCTAGTTGCTTCCTTACCTTCCTGTCGCAGGGGAGTTTCCTAGCTCTGTCCAACCCCAAGGACACCAACAATGATGATGAACTTGGCTTCTATTTTCGTCAACCCTCAAACATTCAAACATGGAGGAGGAACCAGGAAAGAGCCTAAAGCAATTTTGGCGACAAACTCATGTTGATTCGAAGACCCCCAGAAACAAAGCACGACAAGCATCACGTTTGATGCTCAAGCTCAATACACCATCGCACGTTTGTTACCGCCGCTGGTTACCAGTGGTTTATCCTTGGGCTTTGCGTGCAAGTGGGCCTTCCCCCATCCATTGCTGAGAGAACCGTGGGAACATGCCACGGATGGGGGCCTTTTGCATTCCTGTGATAAAACTCCGGACTGTTGATTTGGCCATGCGTCGGGACCAAGATCGGTGGATGTGGTCAAGTCCATTGTGATTGGAGTCTAACAATTGTGAATTTGTCTTTCACAGCACAGAACTCATGAGATGTGTTTTCAAATGACAAGAACGGTACCATCCCTCCCCCCAACCCCCCCCCCCCCCTGTAGCGCAAAAACAAGCTCAAAGGATACTGCTATATTCCCAAGCAATCAGAATGACAAGGGGCGGAGACTGATGTCTCTTTTATGGCTGCGCAGCTATTCTCTGTGAGAATGTGGGTTAAGCCACTTCGAAACGCACAAGCAAGGCTATCAAGCTGTGACATGCACACGCAGCACAAAGTATGATACACGGGATCCCTACATTGCTGTAAGGGTCCATCATGTGCAATTCAACTAACCCCCCCCCTGAACCCCCCCCTTTGCACCGATCTTGGTCCCGACGCATACCTTGATTTGCAAAGCCGCGAGGTTCAAACAACATGCTACCACAAAGGAACTTGCGCTGATACTTGAGCTTGCGTGTTCATGTCAACCCGAGGTTTCACCTCTGTTGAAGTCATGGCGGTGGAAGCAGCTGTCGTCCCTTTCTTCCGTTCTATAGTTTGCCACCAACATCAAGAATACCAATCTAGGGGAACCTTCCCCATTCTTTCCAGCGGTCAGTTCAGCCAACCATCAAAAACTCGGGGGAAACGGCTGGTTTTTGAAAGAAACACTGGTTGAACAGAATGGGGAATCAACCCCTAGAACCACACATAAGCACCCAAATCTGATGTGCACTGACACCCCATATGCCTGGACCCTCAAATTGCCCCTAAGCATGGGAGAAGTGATAAGTGCTCAACGTGATAGGTTGAGTTCTCCGTGCTCGACATCATCGGTAGCTTGGTGAAGATCTCAATTGATTTCGCCCAACCCTGAAAATACCGAGCTCCTCAAGCCCCAGCACCCCGCGTTACCTGGCCTCCTCAGCCTTCGACGCGTCTTCCTGCAGCAGGCCTCGGCTTTTCGGTCTGATTGTGAGCCCTTTTCAGCGGCACGCGGAACCCGGGTGCTGGGGCTGACACTTGGGGATACAACAAAATGGTCATTTAGCACCCATGTAGCACCCAGAATCGTTTGAGGGCTTGAAGGCGTCAAATGCTGGAGCCAGGTTCAAATGCTGGAGCCAGGTTGGATCATGCTAAGGCAAGAAGCATATCACAAATTGGAGTGTCTCCAAACAATATCCTCTATGTGTTTTTTTCCTGCAGTTTCCGTTGGAAGCCCCTCACTGAAAGGCCCCAACCGTCTTGAGGGGGCCCTAGTTTTGCAGACATAGATGTTCACCTAAGGGACCCCCCTCTCCAAACATAAAACAGAAGCCAAATCCCCGAACCTCTATTGGACTTGTAGGGAAAAAATGGTACCCCTTCTGCTGGTGAGACCCCCCCTTCTGGTGAGAACCCCCATGGACGACTCAAAACCCATCGGCCGGGTACGAAGCCCCGGTTCAACCCTTCCGAACCCCGGGCGCCACGCGTGCGGTGGCCGTGCCGCCGGACGAGGCCTCAGTGAACATGGCCCACCTTTTCAACCAAAAACTGAAGGCTAAGAGAACCCCACCAAGCAGCAAGGCACAACTAGCTGCAAGGATGCCAGGGCGAATAAGGAGATGCGTAAGGCGCTAAGGAGCTAATCAGCTAAGAACTCAAGGAGCTAAGGCCAAGGAAAACTCAAGAACCCAATGCCAATTTTCCAAGCTCATGGTTTGGTCATAGGTTTGGAGCCCTTGAGCAAGTCGGGAAAGAAACCTTCGACTCGGCTTTTTGCTGGTTTGTTGAAGGCTCGAAGCTCATGGGAGAGCCCGGGTTCGGAAAACCTGTGGGTCTTGGGTCATGAGCCTTGGGGCTGGAACCTTTGGAGTTTCCCAAGTCCAGAGTCCAATTTTCAGAGATGCCAAGCACAACCTTGCTGGCTTCATATGAGCCATGGTCGATATGAGCCATGTGTCCCAAAATGAAATTGGGATTTGTGCGTAAAAAGTATGTCATCCCCATTGCTACAGAAGATGACAGTATCGACCGTTGCTCATGTAAGCCACGGTCAAAATATGCGGCTAACTACCATAAAAAGACATTGGACAATGAGTCAGTGTCCACAGGTTTTGTAGGACATTAGGTGCGTCTCCTGCTGAGCTTCCCGAATGGACTGCAATCAGTAAATGTTGACGGCACCTCATGCCTCAAATTAGAGACTGCCCTCGGAAGGGTCAGGTTTTCCTTGACGGCCTGCCCCGTTTGGGATGCGGGCCCGTTTGCTCTGGTGACCTACGGGGTTTGCTTTCCTGGAAGTCGGCAAGAGGCTTCGCTGTAGGCTCCAAGTACATCGGGTCGCACACTGGTTAGACCTTTCCCACAGGGTGCCTGGGTAAGGTACCGATGGACCCCTTACCCCCGTTACCGCCATGGGGTATCAAGGGACCCTGTGTTAGCTTGCTTCAAAGCGCAACGACCCCGAAATCTCATGGGTCGCCTTGGCCAGGAAAGGATGCCTCAAGAGGCCGTCTTGGGTCTTGGGCAAACATGCGGGAATGACCATCTTGCAGTCATGGACTTTCCCGGCAGTTTGAAGGTGGTGGAAACCCGCTTACACACGTACATATGAAAAAGAGAAGCAGGACAAAATAACAAAGAAAGACAAGGAATCAAATATAAAGAGAGATAAATAAATAAAGAAAGAAATAAAGGAAAGGAGAGAGAGACAGAAATAAAGAAAGAAGGAAAGAAAGAAGGAAGGAAGGAAAGAAAAAAAGATAGAAAGAAAGAGAGAGAGAGAGAGAAAGGAACAACTGAAAGAAAGGCAAGACGGAAAGAAAGAAACAAAGAAAGAAAGAAAGAAAGAAAGCAATAAGCAAATAAGAAAGAACGGAAATAAAGAATAAGAACAAAAAGAAAGGAAGAAGGAAGAAAGGACATAAATAAAGACAAGTTGTGAAAAAGAACAAGCGTAGAAAGGTAAAGAACAAGAGAAGCAGTGACAGGAAGAAAAAGAACAAACAAAAGAGCATAAAAAGGAACGCCACCTCGGGCCCGGGCCGCTGTGGGGTCTCGGGCCATCCACCAGGTCATCATTGCCTGATGAGCCGCGCATTCGGATGATCCGGATGCAGCGACCATCGGTCTACGTGATTCCAGTCCCATGGGTTTTGTAGATAACCAACAGGCTTCCCACTCCCACAAACCAGAAGGGTTGCCTACTCGTTGTGACCGGGATCCACTCGGCAAGGTATCAATGCAAACCACGAATGTCCCCTGGTACCCTTTCAGAATGGGTTTGTGGGGGGTTCAACGGGGCCCCTTTGGGTTTTGGAATGCAGTAACATAAGTTCAACGAGCTACGAAGCCATGCATGAGGATATGGGCGGCCAGAGGCGTACATCAAACTACAGGAAATGCGCAAGTCCAGACAGGCTCGTCTGCATTTTGAGAGAAAGAACACTGCAGCTTTTAGCAGCTGCCAAAATCATGAAGGAAGCCCCAATGAGGTAGCACACGGTGAGACCACATGTACCACCATTTGATTGCTTTGTGGTTGAGTGTGGATGGCAATATTTTGGGTATCCACCGGATCACCCTTCGGAATTCCGGGTGGGGCCAACCGGCATGTTTGAACATCTTGGTTACTTGTGACGTCACTATGTTTGGTTTGGTGGAGCCTGAAAACGCTGTGGCAATGTGCTGAGCACACATGCTTATTTTGAAACAACAAAGCAATGTAAATACCTGTTTTCTAGTGGGGGGGTTGGTATCATAGCGTAAGAAACGTAAGACACGTGGGCACTTGGCTTGGAAGGAGGTCAACATCAAAAAGCGCACCTCCACTCGAAGAAGCTCCTCACCATCGAGCAAGCAAGCACATCACTAGCTGCCTTGCACACAGGGAATTACCCATGCCATGGTCAATTAATGTGCCAAGTGACATGCAGAAGAATCAAGTTGACCTTGGGCCTGTGAGTGATTCATTGTCCAAAGCAATCCTGAGACCAAAGTGAACCAGAGTCTCGCGCGAGCCCGGTGAAGTGAGTGGAAGTCAGGGACCATCGGCCAATTGCTCTTCCATCAACTGGGTTGCAGGAACTCTTTGGAATGAGACACCATGGCAAACGAATGCCAAAAGGGTTCAAAGCAGAAGGGTGTGAAGTGGCTGCCAAGCACCAAGGATCGCCATCTGAAAGGCGGGACTCATCGTCTGACAGCGACTCCTCGCTGTCCGATCGGACACCCAGCAAGGCCATTGTGGCGCTGTGCGGGGGAGGTGAATCTGGAGAGCTCTTCGGCTCGGGGGTCTCCATCGCCAGAGACGTGGGTGCCGCCTCCGTCAAAAGCTTCGCGTCCAGAAGATGAGAGATATGGTATACTGTTCCCACCACATGAAACAGAATCAGCTTCTGGCAGCGTAACGGATCTCATCAGCCCAATTCATGACTTGGCCAGTTCGCTTTACCGGTATGGGCAATCAAGGAAACTGGCTTTTAGCCAGCACCCTCCGACTACTGCCCAAACGGCAGTAGATGGAAATTTCCCAAAAACGACCGTAGTTAGAAAAACTACTGTCAATTATTTTATTTGCGGGATGCCCATAGTCTAACTACTGCTAGCTACTATTTACAACGGGGAGATGCCATAGCAGGGGTGGTAGCAATCAGGGGTGGCAGCGTGTCACCCCGTGTCGACCCCGTGTCGACCCCGTGTCGCCCCCCCCCAGAACGACAGTAGGTCGCTGTGAACTACTGTCGTTTGAGAGTGTCGCCCCCGTGTCGCCCCCGTGTCGCCCCGTGTCGCCCCCGTGTCACCCCGTGTCGCCCCCGTGTCACCCCGTGTCGCCTGCGTGTCACCCCCTGTCGCCTGCATGTCACCCCGTGTCACCCCGTGGTCTTGTTTTCACTGTTTGAGGCAACATGAAACGACCGTAGATCGCGGATTTATTGTCGTTTATTTTATTTTCGGAATTATTGCCAAATACCCGGTAGTTCCGAAAACAAAATTTAGACGGTAGTCGGAGGGTGCTGGAGGGGGTAATGAGGCGTCCATTGGTACGTCCTGATAGGCAGCAATGGACCCTCTGAAGGAAAAAGTTTACCCTCAAACTACCCGCAAACATGAGGTATTGCCCCACGGGGTAGTTTGAGGCACGAGCGCAGGTGTAGACCCGAGAAATCGGCAAGCCGTCTCCGAGGAAAAGAAAAGCCGTCCCAAGAAAAGGTGGCCCTGGTACCTCTCTTTTGCAGATGAACATGGAATCAACAAAATGAGGGCCCACTTCTGAGAAATTGAGATGTCCTCGTCTATTTGATTCGCTTCCCAAGTGCATTGGCTGAGAAAAGTCTGAACTTGGTTACCTCTTGCTCTGGCCCAGACCGTGTCAGGAATGGAGCTTCACATTTGGGACTCGGGATGTCTCAGCTCGGACAGCCTGCAGCTGGTCGGGGTCCGTCGCTTCCAGCGCGCACCTTGCGAGGAAACCGAGCCCAGAACCTTCCGGTGAAGATGGGGGTCCCAGCTATCAGACATGCAGGTTTCAATACATATATGTGGGGGTTGTCCTATATTCCTTTGCCCGGGATTGGGCCCTTGGGCCGCACTTGCGCGGACTTGCGCGCGCACAGTGGCGCAGAAACTCCTTTTTTTTGACCTCGGTTTGCAAAGTTTTCGTGTGGATTGCGCGCTAGCTTTTCTAAGCAGTGTGTTCGTCGTTCACACAGCAACCCACAAAGACTCTTCCCGCTGAGGTCGCTCCCGGCAAGTCTGGCAGCACCCTTGACCCAACAGAAAGGACAGCAGGCACACGCTTGGACACAGCCTGAAAGAAGGACAGTGCGTGTTGCGGCTGCCTATCCATTGCTTGAACCACGCCGCTAAGGGCATCCAAGACAGCATGGCTAGATGTCTTGCTGGGGCTTCTCGTGCTTGCGCGCAACTTGCGCGCGGCTTGCGCGCGGCTTGCGCGGATTTTGTCGTGTCAGCTGCCAGTTGCTGATTGTCGAAGTCATGACCGCAGAAGCTTTGGCTTCGTTTGGCGTCTGACTGAAGAAAACACCGCACCTTTGCAAACAAGCTTGTGACCTACACATGACCCAAGCAACATTCGAAAAGCATAAGTACAGCAAGAAGATATCACCTCCTTTCATGAAGCTAGGCAACATCAGTACATGAAACCCTTCAAAACTGCAACCTTGCGCGTCCCTTGGGCCGCACTTGCGCGCTCCTTGCGCGCGCACAGCTTTTGACAACTTTTACTTCTCCCCGTTCGGCGATAATTAAAACCGAAGACTGGGGTTTTTGGACGGCCCTCATGTGTATACACATTAAATTCCATTTCGGGTACGTAAGTAGGACCTTGGAGGAACTAAAAGTCCTGAGGCAGGTCCGCTGTTTTGAGATAAACCACTGATTGCAAGGATTTGTAAGGAATGTACGTAAGCCACACAATCTGCAACATTGGGAGGGTCTCCTATTTCAGGCCACTCCCTAGAAATCTTTGTGGAGTTGCTAGTGTTTGTTCCCCAAAACATGTCTGTTTGGTTCCCTGCTTGGATGCTCAGCCCACTTATGCAAAAAGACAACGTGGCAATACGGCAAGCAAGCTAACCCTAGTCATCCCAGAAACCACGGGCATAACCTACCCAAGTCGGTTCCAAGTGCTTGGGACCCCTTGCGCTTTCATTTATTCAGGTCCCCATAGGGTGATGTGGTAGAGGAGTCCGGCTCGAAATGGGTCTGTTGGTGCATCCGTGGGAGGTACCAGGATCCCATTTCGTTCTTGTAGGGTACCCTCTTAGCGGTTGTTTTCCACGGAGCCAAGCCCGCTAGTTGTTCAGGTTCTCCAAGTCGGCACAGCGCTCTCTGGCTCTGTCCAGAGCTTACCCTTGCAAAGGAGATATTGCCAACCAAAATTGTAGGGTGATGTCCCGCGTTGTATTTGAGGGCCGTTCAGAAAGTCACGAATCAAAACCACGTGATCCTTTCGGCATGGGTTGACGGACTCGATTTGGGAGGAGCTGCTAACAGGCTTTAACCCATGTCGCGGGGTTCTACAAGGGAGACTTGGGAAACACACGGAAAGTCAACGGGTTGGTCTCCTAGGATATGAAGCCCCAACGTCGCTGTTGCTTTCCTTTTAGCTGTCTTGCTCAGTTGCCTGGTGACTCCGGTCGAAAACAACATGGAACCCTTTTTCGGGCCACCATGTTTGGGTGCCGCGAAGCAAAGGAAAACATGGTTGCGTTGAACAGCTCACAAGGAGCCCATGAAAAACCTGTCCAGTTTGAACATCAAATGTGATCAACCAGGCAGAAATCTGTAAACCATGGCTCCCGGCTCCCCTGAGCCGCCAAACCCTGCAGAAACAGAAAGCGGGCGTTCTGACACAGTATATGGACAAGGGTTGTCAGGGTGAAACCACCGAACCATGGCTGCTGCGGTGGGAACAACCATGTCTAATGACAAGTGCGGCAAATTAGAGGGCTTCTCTTATTGCCAACTTGCAAACCTACAAACATGAGGTTCGATTCCATGTTGAAACACCATGCTCCTGCAAAATGGAATTGTTGATAATGGGTCAAGGAGTACTTAATTAGCAAACATTGGCAGCCACAGCCGAAACTGAGAACAGGTCGGAAAAAAGAGAAAATACTATTGCATCGGGACCTCCACCAAACATGACCATTCATGGACCGGAGTAGGAAAACCCAAGGCTGAAAGCCAACCTAGATTGATAAGGCAAAAGAAATCAAAAGTTTGGGGGGTTCAAAATGGATTCGCAAACTCTACAGTTCCAAAACTCTACTGCTTGGTTCTGGTAGTTCCCTTGGTTAAGCCGGAGTACAAAATGAATTCACTTCCCGCTGCAACCAATGAATCACTTGGTTCCTTGGCTCTGGGACTACAACATCCCCTTGAACCACACCCAACGGACTCGGGGCGCGGACCTCATCCTGGCGGACTCCACCCGCGCGGCGCGCTGCACCGCACGGTCCACCTGGCGGATGCCGGAGACACGCGAAAAACGGGAGGTCTCTGCGAAGAAGGGTCCCCGTTTTGGATGGGAAGGGGGACCAAAAGGAAACTCACCACCTCAAAGATCCTGAGGTAAAAATTGAGGTCCGCTCAAGAGAATTTTGACAACTAAAATCGGGTCTTGGGGAGTCTTCAAACCAAAGCTGGTCATTTTGGGCGCAAACTGCTGCTAGTTCTGTTGGGCCTTGGAGTAAGCCCGGAAACCCTAAAAGTCCGCTTGCTTGTGATTGGTGGATTGGCTTGGAGCTCTTTGAACCAGAGGTTCAACCCCCAACCACAAATCCAAACCACCAACAAAGGGCCTGCGGAAACACAGAAACAGAAACAACACAAAAGAAACACCGATCCCTTCAGCTTGTAGCTCACTCACTTCCAAGACGGCACCCGAGTGGTGTTCAGCTGTGAACTGTGGTCTTCGAGGAAAAAAAGAAAGAAAGAAAGAAAGAACGAAAGAAAGAAAGAAACATTACAAAAGCAAGCCACCAAACAAGCAAACAAGCAACAACGCAGGCAAACAAAGAAACAAACAAACCAACAAACAAGCAAGCAAGCATGCAAGCAAGCAAGCAAGCAAGCAAAACAAAACACATACAATCAACCGAGCAAAACAAAACACATATAATCAACCGTTTGTGGTACTTGTGTTCCCAGCTCTCCTCCAAAGAACAGGGTACTGTACAACGTGGCATCCTGTGTGGACAACCCCAAGCTTTCCAATTTGTGTGTCTGTGTGTGTGTGTGTTTGTTTTGTTTCGGGGTACCCTTTACAGGTTAGTTTGAAGGGATGCCAAAAGGCACAAACAAACTTTTTGGGTACCCCTACTCAGTTATTTCATCTTTCTAGGGGCCCCTGATGGCCCTTGCTGCTTCCTGAGGATGCGCCGTCTGATACCAAGCGACCCTTCTGTTGTCAACATAAACCAACCAAAGGCCATGCCACTGTCGCGGAACCTAATAAAGAACTTAGATGTTGAAAAGGCCCAAGCAAAAAACATGTAATCGACACCAACCTTCGATCTTCCACTCACAACGATCAGCCTTCGTAACCAAGCAAGCAAAAAGGCAGAGGGCCCGAGGAGGCTTCTGTGTCAAACCTGCGATGTGTGAATCACTCGGACAACTCCAGCCTGGAAAGTGTAACTTCTAAAATTACCAGCAGTCTATGCAGAGGGACACCGGCGCCCAGCGATGGTGTTGAGATGAGGACAATACTGGGCATGAATGCTTGAAGTGCTTGGGCTTTGGTTGTCATGATTTGGGATTTATGTTCATCAACCCTTTTCAAGGTGTCCCCAAATTAAGCTCATATCCGGATAAAATACAGACCTTATGTGTCCCCGCAAAGGGCAAAGGAAAATTGGGCATATCACCAAAATGACCATAGACTACCTCCCCCCTTTGTTTGGAGTTTGTTAAACAATACACAAAAAACGTGTCCTTCCTGCGGATATCAAATATATCAATTTGGAGACCCCTTCCCAGTGCCCCAACCTCCCCGCTCACCGGCTCGTGCCTTGAGCCAAAGCCTCTGAACATGGAGGCGGGTTTGTGGGGTCCTGTTTCGGTGGGTACAGTGGGTTGGGGCTGGTATAGGGTTTGCTTAGGGGCTAAGTCAGAGACTTGGCTTGTTTTCCTGTCAAGTGATCACACGATAGGTTCTAAAAAAACTGTTCGCAAGAGCTACTCTCAGCGCCTAAATACTTGCAACCACACAGGGGCTGGAGGTGCTGTGGACTGCACCACTTGGAAATGATGGGAAATCATTGGCCTTGGTATTTGCTGGGGTATCATCATTCCAGAGTTTCTTAGTTGGTGTAGGATTTCGTCCACCAGTATGAGTTGAATGTAGACATACTAAGGCTGAGTGAGCCTCTTTAAGGAGCAGCCTCTCTTCCCTTCCAGGCCCCTTTAAGAAGAAGCCCTGCGTGGTCTCGTGATAAACATCAACCAGGCTGGTCTTTTGGAGTGCATGAGAGCTTTGAAGCGGATGGAAGTACAGATTCAGAATCGATCAGACACAGTTGTCGTACTGACAGAGGTCTTTTGGTGTTTTGACCGATGTTGCTCTCGCTCGGTCGGCCTGTAGCACAAACAATAAGTGCATAATAGTAAGTGAACTCCCGCGGTTTGACTGGATCAAGGGCTCGTTGGCAACACACACGTCTCAAACCAATACTAGCTCATGGACGGATTCTTGGAGGGTGCTTCTGCCAACTTGCAGCAAGTCCATCGATTGAGCTTTCGGGCCGGTTCGGACGAACATGATTCGAGGAATCTCGGGGATATGGGTGTCTTTTTGAAGGAACCCCTGTTTGGTCATTTAAATGGACACCAACAGGAAAACCACAGTGTTTCTTTTTAATAGTCATTTTTTTGGGGGGAGTCCCCTAAAAAAAGGTTTTATGCAGGCCCGTTGTCCCAAAGGAAAACCAGTACATCACCTCTTGGCCGAACCCTGAATCAGATGCAGATTCCAGATTATCTTCATATTCCAGGGCCCTCAAGCTAAATGGGGTGTTCTTCAAATTTTAAGAGTACTTGGACCCTAATTACTACCAATGAGAAATCCCCTCCACCATAATCTTGGTTGGCAATACCCCATATTTAAGGGCAGACTGAGGAGTCCAGGCATGTTCTTTTCGTGATTGTTATTTTTGGTGTCCATGTAACGGCGAGCAAAAGTCTGGACATTTTACTACAATTCCAGAACCTGCAAATACCGCGCTCCCCAGGAAAAGGACCTTTCCGGTGAGCTCGTGATGTCCCCGGATCGGTGAGCTCGCAATACATCAGGCAGAAAAGCCACACGAGGCGAAAAGACCAACCAGCTCCAAAGGTCGCACATTAAAAGGTCGCACCTTAACAGATCGCACACGAAAAGGTCGCACATTAACAGATCGCACACGAAAAGGTCGCACATTGACAGATCTCACATAAAAAAGGTCGAACAAAAAAAGGTCGCACATAAAAAAGGTCGCGCACGAAAAGGTCGCACATAAAAAGGTCGCACATTAACAGATCGCACATGAAAAGGAAAGGTCGCACATAAAAAGGTCGCACATTAACAGATCGCACATGTACAACGTCGCACACAAAAAGGTCGCACATTAACAGATCGCACATGAAAAGGTCGTACATTAACAGATCGCACACGAAAAGGTCGCACATTGACACATCTCACATAAAAAAGGTCGAACAAAAAAAGGTCGCACATAAAAAAGGTCGCGCACGAAAAGGTCGCACACAAAAAGGTCGCACATTAACAGATCGCACATGAAAAGGTCGCACATAAACAGGTCGCACATTAACAGATCGCACACGAAAAGGTCGCACAAAATAAAGGTCGCACATTAGCAGATCGCACACGAAAAGGTCGCACATAAAAAGATTCGCACATTGACAGATCGCACATACAAAAGGTCACACATAAAAAGGTCGCACATTAACAGATCGCACATGAAAAGGAAAGGTCGCACATAAAAAGGTCGCACATTAACAGATCGCACATGTACAAGGTCACACACAAAAAGGTCGCACATAAACAGATTGCACATGAAAAGGTCGCACATAAAAAAGGTCGCACATTAACAGATCGCACATGAAAAGGAAAGGTCGCACATAAAAAGGTCGCACATTAACAGATCGCACACGAAAAGGTCGCACATAAAAAGGTCGCACATTAACAGATTGCACATAACAAGGTCGCACATAAAAAGGTCGCACATTAACAGATCGCACACGAAAAGGTCGCACATAAAAAAGGTCGCGCATTAGCAGATCGCACATGAAAAGGTCGCACATAAAAAAGGTTGCACATTAACAGATCGCACATGAAAAGGTCGCACATAAAAAACAAGTCGCACATTAACAGATCGCACACGAAAAGGTCGCACATAAAAAGGTCGCACATTAACAAATTGCACATAGAAAAGGTCGCACATAAAAAGGTCGCACATTAACAGATCGCACACGAAAAGGTCGCACATAAAAAAAAGGTCGCGCATTAACAGATCGCACATTAAAGAAAGGTCGCACTCGGTCGCACATTCAAAAAAACGAAAAAAGGTCGCACATTGAAAGCGACCCAAAAAGCGAAGTTCGAGGAGTGGCCGGCCCTTCTTTTTCAAGCCGAGTGGCGGCTGCTTGGCGGTGGGCCGCTCCACTGCGGCCTCCATGCGCCCGGCCCACGCGGCCTCGGAGGGAAAAGCCACCACCACCCCCAGTCCAAATACCCGCTTTTTCAGGGTAGCATGAAAAAGGGGGTATTTGGAGCAGGGGGTAGTGTTTGGGGGGTCTTGTTGAATTTGGTTCCATGGCTTGGGAGTTCCTCTTAAATGCTGACGATCAACGGCGAGGAACCCGAAACTGGGGGGTCCCTCAAACTGGCGGTTTCCGTAGTTCCATGTTAATCTGCGAGATGCCGTCCCTCCAACAATCATGCAAGCTGACGTGAGGAAGGGAGCCCCTGTCCACTGCTATGATTGCTGGAGAAAGGGGGTATTGCATGGGTACAATACAAACCTGCAGTGGGTTCTTGCTTGGCGTGTGTTTGATTTCTTTACATGAAAATGAAGAACAAACTGGAAAGTTGTATTTGCAACAAAATTCCCTGTTGCCAAAGGGAGTTGTAGGCTAATCTGCAGGGGAGCGGTCCGGACACAACCAATGCAACACCACAGGCACATGAGTCCGTATGAGTGCAAACGCTGTGTTTTACTTCTGGCAGCTTTGCGTGGTTGATTTGTACCTGGCAAAACAGCAACAGTGTGTAAAGGTCTGAACTCAAGACAAGTAAGAAGATAACGCAGTCTTCTGGAAGGTCTAAGTCTATCCTTGTCAACGCAGAGAAGTAGAGACAAAGGGGTAGATGCGGAACTGCTGTTTACTTCAGGCAGTTTTACTTGTGAACGAGCGCTGCACGAGAAAGGAACTAACTGCCAGACTGAGTGGGCACCAACGTGCAACCGCATGTATACCTCTTAAACACCTTCCTACAAGACGTTACGTTGGACTCCCAATAACATGAGGATTCCAGCCCCCCCCCCCCCCATTCCAGCATCTAGTAACCAAACCAAGTAATGATGCCCATGAAATGGAAGGGTACAACCTAACCTCAGTCCATAGGCTTGGTACCAAGGGGTTCATTTCCGATGACAAAAGGGTCAGAGATTCTTTCAAGATTGGCTCAACCCTGCAATGCAAGCATCTGCCAAGGCCTCCCCTTTTACTCGCCAATCCAGCTGCTTCGCAGTTCTGCGTTCTGCCATGTCGGTCCGAATCTGTTTCTGAATGTAACTCTGCGGGGGGGATCTGGTTCCGCCTCCCGCTTCCCTCTCGGAGGTTTTTGCAAGGTCGACCAGCCATGCTGAAGACGGCCATGAGGCCTTTGATAGGCACATGGAAAACGCACAGAGCATGGCCGGCCATCGGGCATTGTTGTTAAGGGTTACGGCGCGTGGAGGAAACCTTGCATCTAGCAAATTATACGCAAGACAAAATCAAACTGGACTAAACAGCAAGTGGTACACAATGACATATTATCTTCCATTGACATGTCCTTATGATTCGATGCTAAGAACATGTATCTCCTCCACTATCGATCTACATTGTTACATAAGGCTGAGCGAACCGAGCATGGCAATCAGCGTTGCCATGCTTGATCTCGATGCTCCGCTGCGCTTCTCAGTCAGCGTAGCCTCCTCTTTGGTCACTCCCTTCTCCTGGGCGGAGCTAGGTGACGTCCGTTAGAGTCGTTTTGGAATGCCGCGGACACCAAAACATTCGAAGGTAGTGGAATAGGCTAATAGAAACGTGGAGGTCAATCTCCGTGGATACTCCAAACAAAAGGGGCCTCGCCAGAAATTAGTCTAAGGGCGGCAGGTGCCCCATTCTCTTCCCTCTCCAGAAAGCACCCATCTTCCCCGGTGTTTGGACCATGTCTGAAGAGTAGGATAGGTACATTCCAGAATCAGCTCTCAACAGGCCTAGTGGTTACACCACCACCACCACTGACCAAGATCTCCAAGCTGACAGAAAGTCCCTGAAGTATTCTCTGCACTGGGATGGGGATGTTGCTGGCAGCAAGGTAACGAAGGTGGCCCTTGTTTTGAACCAGTCGCTTCTTAGCTATTGGTCTGCCTCACACCCGAATGACAGTCTTCTCTGCGATTCGATGTCCGCCCATAACAAACCAGCATCCGAGGCAATGCGTGGAAATGGGAAAATGACACACGCTCACTTACTTGTTGGGTCCCTTCAGAGTATCAGCGAGGCTATGGGCTACTTGTGTCACCTTGGAGCCCCTTCAATGGCTGGTATGGTGATGTCACCTGCCACTCGCACTCTGCATCAGGCAAACTTGGTTCACAGAACTTGGACGGTCCATTTTAAGGGGACACAAACTCAGATGCTTGAATCGGATAGGCACGCACGCCCGCACGCACGCACGCGTGCCCGCCCGCCCGCCCGCCCGCACGCACGCACCCACCGCACCGCACCGCACCCGCGCACCCGCACCCGCACCCGCACCCGCACCCGCACCCGCACCCGCACCCGCACCCGCACCCGCACCCGCACCCGCACCCGCACCCGCACACCGCACCCGCCCGCACCCGCACCGCACCCGCACCCGCACCCGCACCCGCACCCGCACCGCACCCGCACCCGCACCCGCACCCCCGCACCCGCACCCACACCCACACACACACACACACACACACCACACACACACACACACACACACACACACACACACACACACACACACACACACACGCAGGCACACACACGCAGGCACACGCACACGCACACGCACACACGCTCATGCACACGCACACGCGCACACACACACGCACACGCACACGCACACGCACACGCACACCCACACGCACACCCACACGCACACCCACACCCACACCCACAGACACAGACACAGACACAGACACAGACACAGACACAGACACACACACAGACACAGAGACACAGAGACACAGAGACACAGAGACACAGAGACACAGAGACACAGAGACACACAGACACACAGACACACAGACACACAGACACACAGACACACAGACACACAGACACACAGACACACAGACACACAGACACACAGACACACAGACACACAGACACACAGACACACAGACACACAGACACACAGACACACACACAGACACACAGACACACAGACACACAGACACACAGACACACAGACACACAGACACACACACACACACACACCCACACCCACACCCACACCCACACCCACACCCACACCCACACCCACACCCACACCCACACCCGCACGCACGCACGCACGCAGACCCACACACACACACACACACACATAAACTGCGGTGTGCGCGCGCGATTGAATCGCCCAGCTCCGCTCGCAGCCCGCCTTGTTTGTGACAGACAACTCCATGGAGGCAACTGACACCTAGCGAAGACCAGGAAGCGAAGGCCATGCCAACACCTCTTCCACAGATCTTGCGTGACGTTTTGGGTTCGATCACAAATCGGTTCCGCTTGGATGCCACACACACACACACATGATGGTTTGGTGCAAGCAAAAACCTGCTTAGAACCTGTTTGAGGTCACCTGAATGCAGTGGAATCTTAGGGTCTAGTTTGGAACCACCGTCTCTGAAGTATCGGTTCCTATTCCACAACCAACCAACAAATTGGTGAGGGCGGTGTTGGCTTGGCTCTGCCACATAGCTGGGTGGTGCGTGACAAACAATTTCCATCCCCTTGCGGCTTCCTTCAAAATTTGTGCGGCCAGCAACCGTGAGCAACATGTATAGTCAAAGGGCGGATATCCGAACCTATACACGGGCGGGACTATCCCTGATTACCAGCCTTCTTATGTTGACCCACATAAATAACCCCTCCCATGAATAAGGTGTTCCCCTCCAAAAGCGATGATTTCCCACTTAACCCACACCCCCTTCTTGGATGCAGCGGGTTGATCAATCTGGTGTTCCCACTGAGGCGGCTGTGGCTCAGAGGGCCAAGGGAATCACCGACTCGGTGATTCACTCGTTTTCCCTTGAAAGACTACACGCAGAAGCACAAAGCCCTCAAGCTACATCTAGAAAGTGGATCCAGGTAAACCTATACATAGCCCGTGGCAGGTGGCAACTCAGCCAATAGACGGGCACGATGCCTAGCGCTGCCTACGCAAAGCAAATTGCGAGACCCGCCAGTACAACCCTGAACTGAAGAGTTCACAAGCCGCAAAACAGCTTCCCGGACCAAACATCCCACCCCTATCCGACCCTCCCTCGAACTGCAACAAATCAGTGAGAGCACCGTCTTTGCTATGCAGAAGAATCAGCAAGGGCACCCTGGGCATGGCTGGTGAGAGGCCACACAATCCTTGCGTTGGGCCTCCCAACGGACGTGGATCAGCAACACTTCCAACGGGTCCCTTCTGCTACCCAGGTCCGCAAAAATACCGTGGGCCAGTGGGACCGAGGACCCTAAGATATAGCGCATGTTTTTGTTGGCAGACCCCGATGAAGTTCACCAAACGACTGGCTTCCTCTCCCTGGGTGGAAAGATCAGCCTGGTACGAGAGCTTCTTCTCTGCGAAGACCTGCTCAACTTTCTTGGAGGCTTCTGCAGAGTCCTGGCGAGGTGCTCAATATGGGTATGTTGTTCAGGATCTGGAGCCCCCAAAGTTTTGGTTTTCCTGTTGATTTCCCGCTAAAAACCACGAATAAGGGGTACCTCACCTCACACGAAGACACAACCAAATGAGCAACGGTGGGTCCCGGGTCCATGAAAGTGACATCGAAATTGCCTGAGATCCGGATCTTCTGGAGAAAGGCGCAACCCCTAAATCTTGGGATCAACAACCAGGGCCGGGGTCCGATGCGCACGAACAGAAATTCACCTTCAATCAGCCAATAAGATGCCGCCTAAAACCAAAAAGGGTATGGAGACCCCTGCACAAAGGCCCCTCCTGGGTCGATCTTTCTGTTCCTCCGTTTTTTTGTTTGCTAAAAACAAACATTTCCCAAAAGGTTGAAAGGGTATTTCGGGCGTACCCAAGAGTAACCAAGTTTCTGAGCTGTTCAAAATGGGGGCTCATCCTCATCCGTAATCCGCAGAGGAATCCCCAATGCCAGGCAAACCTTCGTTGGGCAGAAGGGTTCAGGGTTTAGAAGAGCTTTCCAAT